GCGCGTGCGGCAGCTGTCAGGCAGCACGGGGGCACAGGGCCCCAGGGCGGGATGGCTGCAGCAGCCGCTGGACCCCTTCAACGCGTCGGACGGCCGCATCTTCCTGCAGGTGAGGCCTCTTGCCCCCATTGCCTCCCTTGCACCTCAGTGTCCTCGCCTGTCCCTTCACTCTCCTGACTTTCCTGTGTCCCACGTACTGTCCCTCAGGGCCTGTACTCTGTGCTTCTCTCTCGCTGTCCTTCCCTGCCGTCTACCCGCCTGTCCTTTAGATCACCCCGAAATCCCAGTCTACACACTAGCAGAAGTGAGACGCGATCACAAGAAGCAGTCGGAAATCTCTCCCGGATGAAAGAACGAACCTTCTACCACTCAGAGCCACCCCCCCACACACACACACACGCCCTAAGTCTTTGCACCTGGGGTCCTTCCCTAAATTCACCAGAACTCGAGAATATCCCCGCGAGGGCCTGCCAGGGGTCAGCCACCCCTAGTCTGGAACTGCAGAAGGAAACGCGGACCTAAAAGACCTCCTCTGGGGGAGGACGTTACGGGAGAGAGGAGCGCATACGCCTGCCCGGCCCCGGCACACCACCAAGCCCACTGCAGAGCCACAGGGAGACCCTGGCGCTCAGCAGGCCTTTCCTCCCTCCCCCGCAGCGGTACTGGGTCAACGACCAGCACTGGGCTGGGCAGGACCGGCCGGTCTTCCTGCACCTGGGGGGTGAGGGCAGCCTGGGCCCTGGCTCCGTGATGACAGGTGAGGGTTGGGACAGGGAGAGCAGCTGCTTGTGCGAGGCGGGGCTTGTACCCAGCTCGCCCTTGCTCTCCACAGGACACCCTGCCGCTCTGGCCCCGGCCTGGGGCGCCCTGGTGATCAGTCTGGAGCATCGGTTCTATGGCCTCAGTGTACCTGCCGGGGGCCTGGGCCTGACCCAGCTCCGCTACTTGTCCAGCCGCCACGCGTGAGTGGACGGAGTCGGAGACGTGTGTCGGCCACCTCTGTGCTATGCGTCCGCTGCCCACGTCCGCTTCTCTTCGCCCCTCCCCTTCGAGTCTGTCCACACCGCAGACTCCCCAGCTAAGCCGGCTCCAACTGCAGCCAAGCCGGAGTGGGGAAAGACAACGCGCCTTGGAGGGAGGAGGTGCACGCAATCCAGATCCTCTGTCCCCTGGGGTGCTCCACTCCGGGCCTCACTCAGCCCCCAGAGGGCTCCCTCCCTTCCCCTTCCCCTCCTCAGACTCTGCCTGCTCGCCTGTTACTCCCCCTGTATTTGTCAAGTGCAATTTGTCTGCCTTGGAAGTTGCTCCCCTCTAACTCGATCCGGGAGAAGTGGGCTTTCCGAAGGGAAGGAGGACGGTCACGTGGGCCTGAGCACGAGCTTCGGGGGTGCGGCGTGGCGAGCGCGGGGAGTGGGACGACCTGGGCACCCGACTACCGCCCCCGCTCACCCAGGCTGGCGGACG